TAATGTTGATATTTAATGGCAGTACGTTTTTGTTTTGATGAGTATGAAAAGTTACACAATTTGTTTTGTTTGTATTAAAAAGAAGAGACATATCAGAAGACCAGACTGAAAAGTTGAGCATTGTGGTGTTAATTTTTGTTTTCAGAATTTCAGAGTTTTCTCCTGTAAAAAGTAGCGTTGAGTCATCTGCATACAATGTAGTGAATGCATCAGTTAAGATCAGAGGTAGCTCATTAATATATAAGACGAATAGTATTGGCCCCAGAATGGAGCCTTGAGGTATCCCAATGTAATTTCTTTGAGGAGATGACCGAGATGTTTTACCACAACGAGAGATTTTTACAATTTGTTTCCTTCCTTTCAGTTACGAGCTAAACCAGTCATGAATTTTACCTCTTATACCAAATTTATATAACTTATCAAGCAGAGTTTCGTGTTGAACACAATCAAAAGCTCGACTTAAATCACAAAATATTCCTGTTGGATTTTCACCCATCTCAGTAGCTATTAATACTTTCTCATAGAAAGAGATAATTGCTGTTGTAGTAGAGTATTGGCTACGAAAACCATGATGATTATCCATAATAACTTTGTTCCTCTCTAAAAACGATACCGATTGATTTAGAACCACATATTCAATTACTTTTGATACCATTGCATATGTATATTTTGTAGGTGAAAGCATTCCTATAAGAGTATTCTTAGCTGGCTATGAACTAACCCCAACGATGAGGGATATCAACAAAAAATTCTCCGTTCGCTACTTTCTAAATTTAGTGTTGATGGACACTGAGGACCGAAGGTATTTCAAACAACAAGAAATAACCCTTTGGCGTAAAGGTGATAAAGTTCGGAAGCCTAATCTCCAGGGGCCTGCGATCATGGCGGGCACCCAAAATCTCCAGAATACTGCTCAACAATATCAACAAACAGATGCCAGGAATGATTCAGATAGCACGACCACTGTCAAGGAGGACTTTTTACGGGTACATAGTTCACAGTCTAATGACAAACTCGATTCTAGTGATCCTTTCGATCAGAGAGTCTCATCGCCAACAGAGGGCACTGAAAATCAGATTCAAAATATGACTAGGGAAGCAGGTGATGGTCAGAACGATAACGGAAATGACAATGTTGAGTGATAGAGAGGTGAGTTCAAAGTTCAAACATTGTTTTGTGCTCACTATACAGCGTGACTCACGGTCGATGGTAGGTTAGACGTTTCTGGAAAACGCAAAGCATGATTTTTCTGAAAATTTCACCTCTCACATTTCCTTACCTGTTCTATCGATCTAAAATATTTTCAGCATTGCGGCGTTGCCACTTCCATCAAAAAGTCCTAGCAACTTTATTTTTTTAAATGGAACACCCCGTATATTAATACATTTTTGGAATCGCTCTAGTATTTTAATACTTTTTTGTTAATAATCTATCTGTTTTCGAGATAAAAAATAAATTGTTCTAAATATGGTCCAAAACATAGCCTTAATTGAAATTAAGT